GCCACAGTGCTGTGCTCTACCAACTGCTGAGCAAAAAGTCCTCACCTTCCCACACTGCTGTGCTGCCATCTCCATTTCTTGATGGTCAGATTTCATTTTAGAGTTACAAGGTACTACCTGCTATAAGGTCTTTCCTGCTGAGAAAATGTCATAAGGAAGAGAGGGGCCAAACACTCATCTACCTTCATTTTCTTGTCTCCTTCCGTAAGCACGGAAGCATTTTTTTATCTCTTTAAAATAAATGGCCAGTGAGGCAATAAAGCCTTGGTATTATACTATGGCCTTTCTTTTAAAATGCTTTACTACTTAGTGAAAACATTAAATATTTTTTCCCCTTAATGATGACAGCAGGATCTACAGAACTGGTAAAAGGCGTGGAAGAGGATGACATGGAAGGACAAATTAATTTAGAAAAAGTGCATTGCCTGAAATTTAATATTGTGTTTTTTATGGTCTCTGTGGCGAAGTAGATGCTGCAAGATAACTAACAGAAGTATAACAAACAAGTCTCTTGATACACAAATTACAGGACTTTGCCACAATCTCAAAGAAGTCAAAGGAGAAAAAAAAAAGCCTGAAGCTAGAAATAGTATAATTAATTAAGGAACACAATAGAGGAGCAATTTCAGGGAAGTGCACAGGGAAGTAAGGCAGACAGCTGGGGAGAATGATGCTCTGCATAGCACAAAACAAAGGAGAAGGAAGTTTAAGAATAAAAGTATTGTATTTTTAAACCTAATTCAATGAAGCAGAGAGTGGAAGGCAACATGAATCCTCACAACCAACTTGTTATGTGTTTTAACTTGAGATTCCTCCTGGGAAAAGCAAACAGTAAGAGAAAGCTGCTTCAGAGAGAGAAGAACTCTGGGTGGAGACTCTGGAGAAGCACAACCCGGCTCCACTTCTCAGAGTAACTCAGCTTTACCAGACTCAGCTTTTTTTACTGCCATCCCATAAGCTTGTCTGGTATAAGAGTGGCCTCCGTGGAAATGGGCAGATACAGGACAAACCTAACCTTGAGGTGCTCTGCAGAGACTGTCACCCCAAACACATTTGGGACTTCTACCAGCTGGGACTGTCATTTTCTTCATCCCACTGTGAAGACTGGTTTGAAGATAACAGATTATCCCTAAGTAAGTATGAACCACTGCCTCTTCTGCAAGCAGAAGTCAGCAGGAGGAGAATTTTTAACTCCTGGAGCTGTGATGAGTGTCACACTATCGTGCTGTCAGCAGCTCTGCTGTTATTCCAGCCTAAGCAAAATTTGCCTCTGCCTGTTTGTTTCCCCATTCCTCAACCACACAATCAGAACTGCCTGATGCAACACAAAGAGTTATGAAATAACTGGTGCTAAAATGTGGTAGATTGGTTTAAATTATACTACAGTATACTTCAGTGGTTATGCTGCCTCCTACACAATGCAGTGGGCCCCTACTTTTAATTCTTAGAAAGATACTTTTTTTGTCCTGAAGTTGTAAAATTTTTATCAGCTTTTGAAGAACCTTTGTGGCAAGAAAGTGTGCTTCTACTTTAAAACTCCCTTTTTGTAATGCTAATGCCCATGCTACATGCTCTTTAATGAGTGTCACTAACCCCAAAAAGACCATTTGAATAATGCAAAATCAAACTAGATGTATATGAAAAACCTTCTGAGCCATATCTAAACTCTATATGGAAGTTTCAGATTTATCTGTTTAATATCCTTCTTGGGTCTTCTGGATGACAGAATAGCAAAAAAACCCACAGATAAAATCACACCAATTTTGGTGGCTTGTTCCACAAAACTTACTTTAAAAGTCTTTCCATCACATACACTAACTTCAGTGTGACTGAACAAGATGTCTAGAGGTACCAACGTGAAGACTGATGTTTTTCTTTTTTATATTATTCTGTTTACCACTGAGATTATTTTCTCATGAGTTTCATGATAAATGACTTCAAATTTTTCACTAGTTTAAATGATGTCATGAGCCAGGTTGGTTTTTTTTCTTTTTTTACACAGAAACAGAGCAAGACCTTTTTTTTAAAATAATTGTATGTGATAGAAATGTGCATTGCAAATAATTGGCAGTCAGAAGTGGTCTTTCTGCCTGTTTGCTAAAATGTGTTTGAAATTGCTTAATAAACACTTTTTCTGAAAAAAATTATGAAGACTCTGAAGACAAACTGCCCATTGGCAATACCAACCTGATTCCCTTTTCATTATTCATACTCTGACACTGTTCACTGAAAAGAGACTTATTTATATTTCTCTTATCTATAAAGATGCTCTTAAAGATGATTAAAAAATGAAAACTTGAGGACATGAAAAAGAAAGCCAAGAACATCTACCGACGTAATAATTGTAAAAGTAGTTGGCATGTAAATTAAAGAATATTCATTTATGGAATTCCTACTTATAAACTTCAGATATAAGTATTAATATTGCCCATAGCACCTACTCTGTTTTTATCTTGGCTTACTGCCATTCCTACACTAAGTTATGAAAACTAGATTTGAAATTACTCATTGCATTGCTATTGCATTGTTATTTAAAGGAAAACCTTTAAAGCATTTCCTGAGTTTAAGGGAAAAAAAAATTTGCAATCCTCATAACTTTTTTCATTCATCTCGGAAATGATCTAAAGAGATCCATAAACCACAGGCTGAAAACTAGTTCTCTAATTTAACCACAAGTACTGAATTTGGTCAGTTGATTACTGCATGGAACTTAATTATCCATATTAAAACTGAAGTCAGATGACATGCTCTGACAAGCAGTCCCTTGCTTGCCACTAAATCTGAATAAAAAAACCCAAGAAATTAAAGAATCCCATGAGTCCCAAAAGACTGAGTCCCAGCTACATGTCTTCTCCTGCCCATTTAATGCAACTGGTATGTCTCTAGCAGTAAGGTTTCCAGCTTTTGGTGACAAGTCATAATTTGCTGGCAGTTTTTCAGGCTGTATTTCTCCTTTTTTTCTACTGTCCTAAACAGTTCCTCCTTTCCTTGCTTATGCCTGACACATACATTGTAATCACATGCCTCTAATCACTCCCTAGCTCAACTACAGAACTCTTTAATTGTTCCTACAAATCAATCCTTTGAGCTTTCTTTGCTTCTTACCTGACCTCATTAGTTTGCCAAAAACTTTCAGGCCAAGACATGCCCAGCTAAAAGCTTCCATTCCAAATCTGTCCTCGGTGTTAGTAAAATATGCAGTTAATTTTGTGTTTGTCCAAAGAGTTGTAGATGAAAATTCCCTGAAACACAGAAAAGATAGATTCCCTCTTTTTTGAGATTTCACTAGTAATTACAGTGATGACCTCTGCAACACGTGTGGTAAACAGATGCAGAAAGCAGCCTTGTAGCAAAGAGAAAAAAGAAAACAACTTTTCAAAATAAAGAAGGGATCAAATTCTGCTCACGCTTACATAAAGGATAACTTCAAACTTCTGACAGTTGAACATGGTTCAGTGCTACTTACTGAACTTAGGTCTTCTACTGGCAGAAGCAGTCCAGCACCACAGCAAAGTTATTCCAACAGTCAAACATGAAGAGCTTTCAAAAATGTCTCTGTAGTTGATGGAAAGATAGCTCACAAAAAATTAGTTTTAAATCAAATCACAGACCAAGTAAGACTAGATAAAATATAATACCTGTCTTTAGCAGCATGTAAAAAATGGTCTTTATTCAGCATTTTTTATTTTGGAAAAATAAAAGAATAGTAAGAAATTAAGCTGAGTTTAAAAAAACCTGAAAACAGATCTAAGATTTTTTTTTTTTATTGCCACTAGACATGCCACATGTCAGGAAAAGGGCTCTGTTGTTTCTACCCTCTTAAACAAATTAACCACAGCTTTCCTGGTCAATAATGTGTACTGCATTAATCATAGATAACAGACTAAAAGACACCTCACTTAAGAATATCCTCAATTGCTACTTGGGATTTGAAGCAGCCAATGTATGGAGATCCAATACTAATCTTACTGCAAGTAAGTTATCTTACTGTTGTCTAAATATGAATGGTGACAGAAACTGCAGTCACCCTTCCTACCACAGACTCAAGTCATTCAGCCTCCAGCTCCTCATGAAAATAGCCACCCTTCCTCTCCTATGTATTTCAGGAGACAGCATGGGAGGTTGGGAGACAAGTGTGAAAGCAGCCACAGTCTTTATGTCAGTGTGAAGAACAAACCCTCACACTGCATCACTGCAATTTACAGCAGCTGAGGATCTCTCAAACTGCAGGGCACCTGCAGTATTTTGTTTGGAAATACCTATTGCCACCACATCAGGAACAATTGTAAACACACAGAAATAAATCTTCTCATCACAGTTACTTTTGTGCTGATCTTAATCAGGCAGAAGTTGGGTTCATGCTGCCATTTGAACAAAATGATGGACAGAAAAGTCTAATCTCCATATTTCCGCATGTCCAGACCCCACAGCAGCAGAGTGGTTTCTCAGACAGCAGGCTCTCTGCTCTGCCATCCACACCCTTTGCTGCCTGGCAGGGTTGCAGGTGTGTGGGAGAACAGCTAGCTGGGCAGGATTTGCACGGCATACCACAGCAGTGCTTCCATGCCCAGAAGTCCACTGCTAACAAGTCACATCCAACCATTCAGCAAGATATAAGACTGAAGTCTCAGGTAAGAACCAAGCTGCCAGCAGGAAAAATGGACACCATTGTTTTGGAAAATGTAAAAAAAAAAAGTATAATTTTACTTTTTATTCTTCTAATAGTGAGATCTGAGTCTGTATTTTTTTCTGAAGTAACAAGGAAGTTCAGGTGTATGTTCCTCATGACAATTCGAGATTGCTTAAGAAATGCTTACACAAAACTGCAAGAGCTACGAAACATGAGCAAACTTCCTCACTTCAATCAAACTGGCACATTTTCAAATTTCAGTGTGACACATTTATTGCAAGTTTACGGTAATGTCCATCTGCCCAGAATTGAGAATGCAAAGCCTAAGAATTTGTAATGCTTCACTGAAATTTCACTTGATGAGTAACAGATCAGCACTTCCAACTAACAGAAGTATGTCTACTAGCCAAAAGAAAAAAAAATCACGTTGAAACTCTAAGAAATGAGGCCTCCTGCACAGATACCCATACCTGTAAATCCAGTCAGAAAAGGGCCTCAGAAGAAAGATGATGTTCCACAAGCAGTGCAATTATTTCACCCTTTAAAATTCATGGCAAAATAAAAATTGTTCATTAATGCTTCTTTAAAGCCTGGAATAGTTATATGTTTGGATGATGCTCTTAGTCACATCATTTAGTTTTAGGTAGTCTGGAGAGGGGCAGAGAGTTGGACCCTATGATTCTCATGGGTCCCTTTGAACTCAAGGTAGTCTATGATTGTATGTTGTGCTGTAAGATACATATGCACACACACATGCGTATATGTGTAATAAGACACACATATGTGTATACAGAGGGTATACAACGTGTCTTGCCACTATAGTGGCAAAGCCACTAAAGTGAAAAGTTTCTCCTTGTAGGACAGACTCCAAGCACAGCATCATGCCTGTTATGCCACTCACCTCTTTCCTCTTTGCAAATGACAAAAGGGTTACAGACAAAGCTGGAGAGATTTCATTAAGTCTGTTCAGCCATGGCTGAGCTTCATCTTTGATGTAAAACTGAATCCACTGTCTTCATGTGGACCAATTTCTACATCTGCAAATCTGGGTAATTAATAGTCAGTGAATTAGTCCAATTAGTTTCAAATTAAATCTTTTAAAAACTGATGGAGAATTACAGCGACTAAGCCATCTTAATTAAATATTGAAGGGGTAAGTGGAAATAAGCATCAGGAGAGGTGTTTCTGTGCTCCACTTCCAATGCACAAAGGTTTTAAGGGCATTTACTGGAACTCATTAATTGGATCTGTGAGCTTCTGCTTGACCCCTGATTTTTCTTTAACACATTAAGGCTGTGTAAAATATGTATAAATGCATAAATATGTAAAGCACAGCTACTGAAAATGGATTTATAAAGATTTCCTTCGAAAAACCAAACCAGTGAAGCCTTTGCTAAAATATCCTAAGGAAAAAAAATACACTCAACAATAGTAACTTACCATCTCAAAGCAGTACAGAAACACTCTATTACCTGTGTGAAAAATATACAGTAAAAAAAGCACTCCTGCAAAAATAGCACAATCATTCCTCTCACAATATATGCAACATTACAGTAGCCCACAAGTGTAGAGTGGTGAAAAATGAATCAAACGGGTAACCTGACAGTAAGCAGAGAAACAGTGAGAATAAAAAAACCTCAATGAAAGTGGAAGATGGGATGGAATTTTTTTCTATAAATATTTATAGCATCAGTGATGATCATTATTCTACTTGGTGAAGAGCAAACAAAAAAGAATTAGATTGCGGTATCTTTTGCCACCGTGCAGAGGGAAATCCTATCTCATTGTTCTCTGCTCAGGGCTCTGCATCACCAGCTCCCCCCCTCCAGGCCCTCAGGCTGCAGCCAGGAAAGAAGCATGGGATAAGTGGTTCCAAATGCAGCTGCCCCAGCTGGAACCAAGGGAGCAGCTAAGACAGGTATTGGGCCAAGGGAGTGAACAACTTCAACTCACACCACCATGTTTCTTTTCTTGGTGGTATGCATTATTGTCTTGCTCCTCTCACTCATTAATGACTTTCTCAGACACACAGAAACTGGTTATCTTTGGGACCTCGAATTAATCTGACTAAGCTCAGTAATATCCAAAAGTATTAAAGGAAAATGAGCACTTAATAATGTAAGAGATTTATAAAAATACCTTTCAGTGCTCCCCCTTGCTTTGAAAGACCACTGATGCATACCAGGTAGCATTGGTATTTTTTCATCACAGGTATCTCTTTGCCCAAACTTTAAAAACTGTTCTTTCTGGACAAGGAAGGGGGTGTGGTGACATCTGCTCATCCCCTAGGTGACACATCCATGGGTGGCTCAGGAAGCGTCCTTTGGTTACAGAAGTTGCATTAGATGTCTCCTGCCCTTTAATCCAGGATTTAATAAAGTCAGTGAGAATGCTGCCTTTAAATTCACCATGAACAGTACTTGCCACCTGTGTCATCGTTTCCTTTCTCTGCCTTGCACCAGTGTAATCATTCTGAGAGACAGGAGAGGTCTACAGCAATGAAACAGTTTGGACAGACTGACTGATCTGGTTACATGGTTCAAGGCAAATTGAAGGCTTTATCAGAAACCAATGAGGAAAGATATCCTAAAGAACTAAACAAAGAGGAAGAATATTTATAACATCATTTCTTTCCTCTCATTACAATCTCAATTTTCAAAAAACTAAAATTGTAAATATATGCCCAATTCTCATTGATGCTCAATAGAGCCAAAAATCAGTAACCAGCACTCAGGCTTTATACTGCACAGAGGTTATTTAAAGAAAGGCAATATTTGCCTCATAGTAGCTAAACAGGCACAGGCAAGCAATAGTGACACTATATTCCATTATCCAAGTCTCAGCCAACAGCCTGAGTGTTTCAAGTATTGTTGCAAGAACAAGATACACCTTCACAGAGTATCATCTTGAAAAAAAGTTTAACTATAATCCCTTGAGTTTCATCTTTTGAGACTAGATTACAACACACATCTCACAAAAAAGAAGAACAATGTGTTGATTCTGCTTTTTATTTACCATCTTCACAAACATGATAAATTCAAAGCCTATGTTGAAGATGGATATTTTCATCTGGTCCTGTGCTTTAGAATGACTTCATATTGTTGAGCTATTTTTCATCCAAAATGATGCCCAGATTGGTTGCAATTTATTGCTTATGAGTAAAATTGCAGCTGACCATTAAAGGAACAGCTGAAATGAAGCCACCCCTGCCAAGTGATTTCACAGCCTGATGTCTGAGCAGCAAGAATGTTTTCTAATGTGTTTTAAAAACATTCCCCTTGTTTCTGAAATTAACCACTCTCACAACAAAAAAAAACAACCTTGACTGCAAAACATCACAGACCAAAATGGCAAGGGTGATGGGGAGCAGAACAGGGATGTTGGGAGATGCTGGAGGTAAGCACCTTTCTGCAAGGTTCATCTGTTGCAGTCTTTCAAGTCTTGGACTATAGTAACTCCCCCACGATCTTCTGAGATCAAACAAAAACCATCCTGATCAGGAATCTCCTGTCTCCCACATTCATCGAAGCTATCCAGACTCCTAAATTTAGGGCTCAGTTTCTGGCTCTGCTCCAGATTTTGCTATCTCTGCATTTCAGTTCCCAGCTGTGAAGCCTCCTGACTGCAGGTGGGCAGCTACAAACAACCCAGCAGCACAGCCCTGCTTACACTGGTGGCCTCTAGACAAAACGAAAAAAAGTATGACCATGTGAAGGTTTTCATCCCACTTTAATAACCCTGTAAGTGTAGCTCTTGGGCTGTTGTTTAGGGGTTTTTTTTTTGGTTGGTTGATTGGGTTTTTCTGTTGTTGGGGTTTTTGTTTGGTTTTTTTGTGTGGTTTTTTTTTGTTGTTTTGGTTTGGCTTTGGGAGGAGTTTTTGGTTTTTTGTTTGTTTGGGTTTTTTTTGTTTTCCTTTTAAAATAAGCCAATATTACCCTGGCATAAATACAGATAAAAGGGTGACAAGTAAGGGCTTGTGCAGTTCCAAAACCAGGGATAATTGCAAAACACAAATCTTACCTCATCACTGTCTACTGCACATTTTTCAACTTTAGCCACAGACAAATTGGTGTTTATGCTATGTTTTGATTTTTCCTCTTATTTGCTGTCTAATTTTCCTATTTCTTTTTTAAAAATACATCAATTAAATGCCAATCCTTTTCTTTGCAAACTTTTGTTTACATTTGCATGTCCATGACATTGACTACTTAGAATTATAGAATGGTTTGGGTTGACCTTTAAAAGTCATCTAGTCCAACCCCTCCTGCACTAAGCAGAGACATCTTCAACTAGATCAGAGCTCTGTCCAACCTGACCTTGAATGTTTCCAGGGATGGGACATCTACCACCTCTCTGAGCAACCCATTCCAGGATTTTACCAATCTCCTTGATTATAAAAAACATTTATCTTGCATATAATCTGAATCAACCCTCTTTTAATTTAAAACCATTTTCCCCTGTCCTATCACTACACGTCCTACTAAGACCTCGTCTCCATCTTTCTTACAAGCCCCCTTAAGGTATTGAAAGGCTGGAATGAGGTCTCCCTGGAGCTTTCTCTTCTCTGGGCTGAACAACATCATCTCTCTCAGCCTTTCCTCATGGGAGAGGTGCTCCATCCCTCTGATCATCTTTGTGACTCCTCCTCTGGACCCACTCCAACTGGTCCATATCTTTCCTGTACTGGGGACCCCAGGGCTGGATGCAGCACTCCAGATGGGGTCTCACTAGAGCAGAGTAGATGGGCAGAATCACCTCCACTGACCTGCTGGCCACGCTGGTTTTGATGCAGCCCAGGATTCAGCTGGCTTTCCAGACTGTGAGCACACATTTACCAAGTCATGTCCAGCATCTCATTCACCAGCACTCCCAACTGCAGAGTTGTTCTCAGCAAGGTTGCTCTCATAGTTCACAGCTAGTAGATATTTGGGACTCTGAGTATGGGCATTTTTTGGATATTGTTCCATTTCACCCATTTCACCTTTTCTCACCAAGCCCTGTTAAGACCAGAAATTACTGATTTCAATTAAGCTCTTTTTTATTATTATTCAGCAGAACTTACATTTAAATTCGTCTTTCCCCCAAAACTGTTGACATGCTTCTATAACTACTTTTAAGGATACTTCCTTACAAGAAATTAAACTGCAAAGCCTTTTGATTATTTCTGAGTGTTGTCAGATTAAACTTAATATTAAATTAAAAGCTGTTTCATAATGTCAAAAGGAATGCTTTGTATAGTAATTTGCCTTCTGATGGTAATTTTGTATAATCAATGCCACCTTTTCACGCAATCTTTTGTGTTCTGAACTTTATTCTTGTACTCCCATGTGGAAAGTTGGATGCGAAGACACAGAACACAGCTCACAAATACATTGAATAAATAAAACAGTGAAATGAAGGGAAAATTATTTTAAAATATCAACTATTTTTTAATTTTAAGCAGTATCAGTGTCTTCATTCAAATTACAAGAAAGGAAACGATGGTAGCCAATGTTACAGATTACCACCCTTCACATGTGCTGCTTCATCTCCACATCAGGACATCAAAATTTTCTGCTGGATGTTTGCTCCATCTTTCATTACAGACAAGCTAGTTACAGCCCTCACTGAAGTGGCAGGTGAGGGGGCAGGTTCAGCCCCAAAATCTACTGGTCATATCAACATACCCACAGTCTATCCAGTTTCTCCTGACTAAATCCAACAGTGGGAGATGATGCATACTACACCAAGGGACAAACAGATCCATCCAAATGCAGGCAAAACATTTTAAAGCCATGCAGGGCAGCCACATCCACTCAGCATGAGTCCCAGATAGCTTGAAACTAGCACAAAACACCTTATGATGTCTCCTGACTCCCTATCATGCAGGCACAAGGTACAACACAGCAAGTGTCTCCTCCTACATCCTCCTCCCCACTTTGGTTCACACTTTTCCTTGCAGAAACCACACTAAGCTATAGGTCTAGATAATAGTTGCTGCAATAGTAAAAATCTCCTATGTAACAATCTCATAGTTTTAGCTTTGGAATCTTAGATTGTTTCAAA